TCATTAAAAACATGCTGCACCATTAGTCTATTACCACTTCCTGTTGTCTTCTTTGTCATTTCTGCCAGTAGCAACATGCGGTTGTTGATCACAACTTGTGTGATGTGGGAGAAAAAAAAAATTAACTATCCGGTTTTGGGTTTTTCAGAGATAATTAAGTGAAATTTATTGTAATTTTTCACGACACTGAAATCGAACATATTTTCAAAGCTTAGTTGAGACCAGTTGTTTTACTTTAATTTAGTTAAAGTAATCGTAATCCTAATAGCAAAGTTAGGATTATTAACATTTATAGATGACCAGGATTGAGGAGTCTTTATGACCCTCCAATATTTTACTCTGTAAACAAACGTTTTACTGATTGTGGAAGGACGTTAAAACAAAACGATCTCCAGAATCCCTCATGTTTGACCATCCTGAGGGATTTCAGCTCTCATACAACATTTACAGAGTTCCTGGACCTTAATTAGCTTCTTGTGAACAAGCCAAGGACCCAAGAAGCTAATTAAGTTCTCAGGCCCTAATTACATTCTTGGATTCATCGTTTGCTCATTTGTTCATAACAAACTGAAATTTAAGAACTACATAGGGTGGGTTGGACGACTGTTTGAGATTCCTTGTGTCTTTTCATGAGATTTGGTAATTACTGCCTTGCTGAACTGTATATTCAATGACTTGAATCGATACAAGCAGAACAAATTTAAGGTATTTTTTAATGAGTTGTTTGTCTCTACACCAAGAGTATGTTAGCAGTCAAGTGCAGCCCCTTTAAAATCTTAAATTTGGTTTTTTCAGGTGGACAACCATCATGAACAAAATTTCTGATCAATTCATGTTGTTGTTTATTACGAAAACATAAACGGCAGTAATTTATAAGAATTGTGTGCACAAGTTAGGGCTTAGGCTCAAATTTAAACATTCGCCTTCATTTGTGCACATGTCCCTGAAATGTTCGGTTTATTTACACATTTTTCAACACGTTATCTCAAGACGTTTATTTTTCAAATTGGCTAAAGAAGTTTTCAGTCTAAGGAAACCGTATATTAAGTTTTTGACTTGGACCATGAAACAATTGCTAACAACTTTATTCTCATAATATAGTCCTTCAATCTTAAAATGTTCTTCAGATGGTGGAAGGCCGACTTTGTAATCATTTTTATGTGTTTCTCAGTTAATGTTTTTTGGTGTGTGGAAAATGAGCAGTTTCAAAAACCTCTGAAATGTAACATCAGAAATCAGCAGACACTGGCCATTACCTAGCAACCCCAACGAAGCCCAGCCCGTTACCTAGCAACCCAAATGGCTGCTTGGTCAGCTGGTTTTACTGCTGTATGTGCTGTACAATGGCTGCTGGAAAAGACAATCATTCTGTTGATTTACCATCCAGAAACCACTTGCTGCATTCTTGTTGGTTGTGCAGGAGGCTCTATTTTTGCTTTTCGGTTGTATAATTGCACATCCGTTTGCAGCCATTTTCATTTGAGTGTAAATATTAAGTTAGGGGGTGGGGGAGTGCGGCCAGAAGTAGCTTACTTGGATTTAAAATGACTAGACGCCCTAAAACAACTCAGTCTAACTAAAATCTCATTATCTAAGAATGATTTTGTGCAGAAACATGTAATTAAGATGTTTTGTATGTCTAAGATTGATCCAAACCAGTTCAAGGAAGCATAATTGGTCACCTTTAAGATGAAAGAAAAAAGCTGAGAAAAATGAGAGCTTGGAGAATTTGCTGAATGTGATTTAACCACTGCCAAACAATGAGGCAAATCAACAACCTGTCATCAGCTGGAGTCCTGATGCTAGCACAAAGAACAGCACCAAGCATCCGCAGTGGTTGGCAGCTTTGGGAAGGTGCGACACATCGGAAAACCGATCAGGGGCAAAACTCGGTGGTATGCTCTCGTGACGCTGATGGAAGCTGACACTCCGTATTAGGAGAGGATCAAGAGACACCTCTTACTTAAGGAAGCTGATTCTGCAGGCTGGAAAACTTTGATTTAATGTAATAGAGTCCTCATCTAGAGAATAAGAGAGGCAGGAAAAAAACTGCTTTGTGTGAATCACTGGCCGCGGATAAGGTTGTGAAGTTAAAATGGGAAGATATTGCTTGTTTGTGTGTTTTCTAAAGAAGTGTAGTCTGAAAATGTTCCTGTATTTCCTCAAGCAGCTTGGAACAATGCTCGCTCTCATTCTCTGATGTTTGCCGAGTTGTTTGGGCCGCGTAACAACAGCGTAATTAACATCCCAGGGGTGTAAATAGCAACTAAATTATTACTAATTCTATGCAGAGAGGTACAAAATTGCTTCCTTTTTTCAGAGGCTTGTTAGCAAGAGAACGCCACACACAGACTCACACAACCATTCGGTAAACACTCGCACAGGGGGAACAAATGCAAACACACACACCTACTTCTTAATCTCCCAGCGCCATGAACCCAACGAGGGGCTGAGTTATGGAGTGTGAGTAGGACTTGGCTTGGCATCAGAGGGAGGCTACCTCGCCGCTCGTTTGGATGTTAATTAGTTTGGCCTGTTTGCATTTTTATTTATCTGGTGCAGCGCATTACAGCTGATAATCTATGCACAGTGATATCAGCAGAATAAAATTCGAGCCCAGATTGAAGTTGGCCAGTGGAGCCGCTTCTTTGCTTACATTATTCATCAAGTAGCGACTGGCGGTTTTTTAAAAGTCACTTTATCTGGTCTGGTGTGTTTTAAGGAAGTATAGAGATGTCTGAAGAGCTCCAGAGTCTTAACAGACTTGAACTATTGCACATTTCATCACAAGGTCGAGGTTTTAAATGGAATTTTATGTGTTTGACCAACATAATGTGGTACTTAAGGTCTGTTTTGATTATACAATAAATGGCACATTCTGCAGATTTCTTATTTAATCACATGTTTGTATAATATTGGAAACGCATTAAAAAGTGAATAATAAATTCCATTTTAAAGTAAGAAAATCAACATTTTATACTTTGCGTAGCTTCTCATCAGTCACATGTGGCTTTGCCCAAGGCTCAATCCTGGGATTGATTGATGCTCCCACTCGCTCAGGTTAGAAGAAGGGTTAGTGCCAGAATGTATTGATAAAACCTGATCACAAACTGTTAAAATATCAATGAATTCTTAAAATTAAATAATATTATTGAACATTTTCAATGCCTCCAGGATTTTGTGATACTTTTTTTGTGATTCTTTGCAATAAAAACCAATGTTTGTGGTACTAATTTGGAAATATTTGCAATATTTACACTAATTTATGACAGTAAATGCAACTTTTATTACTGCTGTATAGATCATGGATTATAATCTGACATAAATTAAGGCTGAGGCAGCTGTTAGTACAAGTAAAAACATTTAACAATTTTTGAGAAACATTTGCAATAAACTCCCAATTATGTATGAGCATAAAAAAGTGTGTGGGGATTTGTTGATTTTGTGTGAATTTTCATGATAATTGTCTATAAACTGGAGGGACTGATTGATATAATTTGGCAGTAAACGGATAAAAACTGCACTGATTTGATTGAAAACATAACATTTAAGCACACTTAGTGTTTAGGATCCAGAGGGCCACATATAAAGCTATGGCGGGCCAGATTTGGCCCACAGGCCTCGAGTTTGACACTTATGATCTAGAGTCAGTTATTACAGGTAGAAACTAGATATCAGACCAAAAATCTGAGTGTGAACCTTCAGAGACACATGAAGACAGTTACAAAGCCGGCCTTCCATCACCTGAAGAAAAATTCCAAGAATGAAGGAGTTTATTCTCGTAATATAAGGAATTTATTCTAATTTAAAAGAAAAAAATTTTCTTAGTGTGGCTCTAATACTCCATTGTTCGACTGCATATTCACACCTCCCCCAATGACCTGGACTGTCTAGTCAAACTAGTCGATTAAAGCGCACCAGACAGAGTGAATCCACCCTTATAGATGCAACGCTCCCCATCTTCATCAGATCCATCAGACGTCACTCCTCCTCCCTCTTTTGCTTCCAGCTGAACTGAGATGTTATACGGCTCTCAGTGGGCAGGGCTGCATGCAGACGGATTGATATGCATCCAGCATGTAATGAGGAGGAATGACAGAGTGCCTGGACTCTGTGTGTGTGCACCTGCCTCACGCTGGCGGCCAAGTCTACGACATGAAGAGTATGTGGGCTATACTAAGAGAAAAATATTAAAAAGATAAAAGTATGAGAATAAAGTCATAACGGGAGCAACGGTGGTAGGAGTTCCCCCAGTAATCGGTAGTTCATCGGTTCAATTCCCAGTCCGCCTGCCCTCGTTTGTGTCCTTGGGCCAGTGGCAGAAAATGGCCGCCTAGCTTCTGTCAGGCTGCCACAGAGCAGCTGTAGCTACAATCGAGTAGCTTGCCATCACCCCCTTTAAGATTTAAATTTGATATAGAAAGGGCATTATAAATAAAATTTATTATTATTTATTGTAGAATAAAGTTGAAATATAAGACGTACAAGATTAACTCAAATACTAGAATAAAGTTGTAAATAGAGAATAGCTATACTTTGACAATGCTCGTAAGATTACGACTTAATTTTGAATTATTTCAACTTTATCCTTGTACAATTTTATTTTTGTAATTTTGACTTATTCACGTAATTTTGACTTTATTCTTGTAACATGACTAATCTCGCAATTTTATGAATTTTTTCTTGTAGTTTTATGACTTTATTCTCGTAAATGTGTTGTTTTTTTCTTGTAATTTCATAACCGTTGTAATTTTCTTATTTATTCTCTACTTCTCCGTGGTTCGACTGTGCATTCTCACAGATGTTATACGGCTCTCAGTGGGCCGCGCTGCATGCAGACGGATTGATATGCATCCAGCATGTAATGAGGAGAGATGACAGAGTGCCTGGACTCTGTGTGTGTGCACCTGCCTCACGCTGGCGGCCAAGTCTATGCGTCGAAGATGATGAAGATGAAGCTAAACTGGTCAAGACGAAGCCCATCTTCTTCCCCTTCTTACTCTGATTTACAAGTTATGGCCTCTTTCTCCTTCATTCCTCTGTCATTGAGGGAAGATTAGACGTCAGTCGGCGCTCTGGTTCTTCTCATCCCCCTTTATCTGTAACTTGTGAATGGCAGCCAATCAGGGGGCAGAGTCGCCTCCGCCTCGGTGACATCCACCGGCAGGATTGATGCACTGCTGGAGGAGGAAAGAGAAGAGGAGGGGACTGTGAGAGATGATGGAAAGAAAGAAGGAAAGTGTGGACGAAGAGGAGGAGGAGGAGTAAGTGAGTGAGCGAGCGAGCGAGGAGGACCCTCTCTCTCCTCCTCTCTCTCTCTCCTCCACACACACACAGTCCCATACACATTCGCAGCAGCTGTGCCGCTGTCAGTCCTGGAATGTAAGCGCTGCCGTCAGGAGTCCGATTCTCCGACCGCTAAGCGCCGAGACGGAGCAGCGCTCACTCAGACACACAGATGGATGCTAAGCAGAGCAAAACCAAAGGTAAAGCAGTTCGTTTTCTCCTTTCCCCTCATCCATCCATCATATCTCATCTAGATGCTACTTCAACCCTTAATCACATGTCAAGATTTTAAAAAATAAGACTGAAAACTCCTCATGAATCCATCTTTTTTTTGTTTTTGCAGCTGTTAATTCAGATTAAGCATGACACCTGTCACTCATCCCCCCTCGTTTTTTCATTTTTCTTTTTTTTTTTTGTGTCTACGCACGTACAGCAGGTGTTTGCACCTGTTTGACTTTCTGAGTCTCCACAAGAAAGAAAGTCGCACTTGTGCTGCGATTTGATGGAGAGGCGGTGTAGCGTTCATATCTCTAAAAAAAAAAAAAATAGCTCCAGGTGTTTATCTTGAACATGTGCTCCAAAGCACAAACTTAATCCAACCCTGACCGGCTTGGTTTGTTATTTTTTCCCCACTCTTAAGTGATTTTTTTTTTAGGGGTTGACAATGTAATGCCATTACAGTTGATGCAAATTAGAGTAGAAACTGCTGCATGTTCCACTTTTTAAACATGAATATTTAGTCTTTTTGTCTAATGAACCCCAAAGAAAGTCGAGTGAGAATGTCTTCTTCTTCTTCTAAATAATACACAGGTTGGGTTTCATGGCATACTTTAACTGTCGGACTCTTTTCAAGAAACGTCCAGCCCAGCCGAGCCGGCTGTGTTGGAAGTGTGCACTGTATCACAAAATTGCTTTGAGGATTTCAAAACATGAGTAAAGCTCGCCGAGGTCTGCCAAAGACTGCAGCCGCACGGCGTTGAGAAGGGCTAGGGCTCCACCAAGTGGAGGCAGGTGTAACTGCAACTGCAACCCCCCCCCCCCCCCTCCACTGCCAACCCTGTCCACTACCCCCCCCCCCCCACCAGGTAGATTTACACTCTGTCCCTGCAAGCAATCACTGGAGTCACTAAACCTGCCAATCAGATCGCAATAGTTTGGAAATCAAACCTCGCATAGTGTTTTTTTTTTATTTTTTATTTGCTTATGTCAGGCTGAGTTATGTTTTTTTTTTTTAAATGTGTAACCCAAATGCATGACCTTGTCATCTTCTTCTCTGTTTTCTCGTAATCCGAGACCTTCACTGCTGAATATTGCTCCACATAATCCTTGAATCAAAATATCCGGCTGTTTCAAATTGTGCGTGGGAGATTTTGGATTGTTGACGCCTAATTATATGGTCCAATCCTTACGTAACGCTGCATCTGCTAATAAATACATCTACATACTAGTATATTTATAGCCCCATTTTAAGATTAAATTTAATAATACCAGCAGGCATGTTAAATTTAAAAGAATAGATGTTTTTGCGGAAAAGTTTTTGAGGTTCATTCATTTGGAAAATATTCCTTCTATCACTGCCTGAAGTAAAAAAAAAGCAGTATTTTGATTAAGGTTAAATATAAGGATATCTTAATATTAAATAACTAATAGTAACATTAAAGGAAATACATATAGTGGAGAAATTAAATTTAAGATTTAAGCTTTTAATGCGAAAAAGTTGATTCTAACCAGGAAATTTCTTTATTCAAGCTTAAAACTGGAAAGTAAAACCAACAGACATATTAAATTTAAATAAATTTCTGTTTTTGTTAAAAAGAAAAGTTTGGATTTATTCATATGGAAAATATTTCTTATATCATTAACTCAAGTAATGCCAAATATTAAAACCTCTTAATACAGAGAGTGGAGAAATTAACTTTCTCCTTCAATTTTAGATGAAAAAAGTTGAATACATATTGGAAGAAAGTGGCAAACTGCATTTAATATTAAGATATCACATTAACATCCAGTACTTTACTGGGTTTAATTTAATTTGCGTTACATTTTAGTTTGAACACTGAAAGAAAGTGAAAAAATATATTTAAACCCTTTACAGGGATATAAAATAACGACATAAGCTTAATTGAAAACTGTTAGCATGAAAAAGTTGATCATGATCAGAAAAATATCTTCACTAGTTTAAGTTTAAACTAGGAAGAAATACCAATAGGAATACTAAATTAAAGGATGTTTTTTAGGTTTGTCCATCTGGGAAATATTCATTCCATCACTGCCTCAAGTAAAAAAGATGGATTTTTATTAAAGTTAAGTAGAAGAACCACCAATATTAAATAATGAACAGAAACATTAAGGAAAATACATATAGTAGTGAAATTTACTTTTTCTGTTAATCTCAGATTGGAGGAAATCTGGTCTTTAGTGGATAAACTTGGATGTTTAATTAATGAGTTTAATCAAGATTTGTTTTAATGTAATGCATGACAAATTTCATCATAACAACAAAAAAATCTTGCGTTTTGCATTTTTACAAACAATATGTGAAATATGTTAACATTTATTTGGTACAGCAGGTTCTTGAGAAAACTTTAAGCTTTGTTCAAGAAGTAAAAGTCGTTAAACGTTTAAACTCATTCTTAGAATACAAGGAAGATTTAGATTTAAAATAATCTTTTAATTAGATCAGCTTGTTTCATTTAACTGAAAATAATAATGTTTTAAGCCTAATCTGAAAGTTTTTGGACGAGTTGAAGCTCTACTGTAACGCCAAAGTTTCTCCTTGAAAACTGAATATTGATTTGTTTACATCGTTTTATCACCTTTTTAGAGATTCCTGTCATTTCCCGTCAGAAATCAACTTCTTTGATGCATACAAACTATTAACTCTGTATCTGCCAGGGGTATGAATAAATTTGAGCTCTACTGTATATATTTTACACTTCTAAAACCTTTAATGCAGGCTTACCTCAAGAGCATACAGCAGCTATAATTATTGTACTCCTCGAGTTAGAGAATCCACAAAAGTGCTTAGTTGCAGAGCTCAGTTCGGGTTTTTCTCTCCAAGCTTGCATGTTCATTTTTTAGGACGGCATGTGCATGAAAATTCATATTCAATGTTGCAAAGGCTGCGCTTTTTTTTTTTTTTCTTTTCTTCCCAGGAAGCAGATCCTGATGAACAGCTCGTTTGTATCTGATCAAAGATGTTCTTATTCAGCAAAACAAGAATGTATAATTTGCAGATTAAAGCAATGGAGCGCGGTGAAGTTGTTGCCAGCCAGCCGAAATGCGTAGTTGCCAAGATTAAGAGAAAACATTCAAAGACAACCACCCATAAAAGCATATTTAACAATTTGGTCCCCTCCACATCTGTGTGTGTTGTAGTGCCAAGCCGAATAAGCTCCCTACAAGTTAATCTAGTCATAAACAATTTCTTTTAATGCGCCCCGCTTTTTTAATGGGCTGAATAAGTCGAGATAATTCAGCTCGACCCTATAGGATCTGGCGTGGTTTCAAGCGCGCTCATTCATCCTTTAATGGAGTGTTTGGAAGAATTTTTGAAAAAGAAACACTGGCCTAATGCTTAATAGGCAAGCCACATCAAAGATTAATATCCAGAATGCCATTAAAATCTCAAGGACGGGCTGGAATGATAATTAGAAAATGCAATCACAAGTATCAGACTGGATTAATTGCAAGGCGGGCGCTTCCCCTGACTTCAGCAACATTCGTGTCACACTTATGTCACATTTCGTACCTACAGAGAAATGTAGCTCCAATCAGCATGATTATGGCTTTAACACCTGGGAAACTACAACATTTGGACTCTACTGGACGTGTAACACATACGCAGGGCCGGACCAACGCTTTTTGGGACCCTAAGCTGATTTTTATTTGGGAGGCCCCACATACTAACCAGATGCTTTATTGTTCCTAAGCTATCAACTATCATTAGCATCATTTTATCATACCAATAACGTCTTGTTATTGTTGTTAAATTTTTACCAAGATGTGTACTTTTTGATGACTTACATGTACTAAAACATATCATAATTACAAAAGTACTTTAAATACACCAATTTAAATTATGTAAATTATTTACAAACTCCTGACCTAGCAAAGACATTCAAATACCTTATTTTTAATTCTTAGAAATAAAAGATTTGTTTTTATTTGTATGTTGTTTCATTTAAAACATTAATGACTTCTTATTTAACGGTTCTGAACAAAGGTTTTGAACTGACATGGGCTAAAAGTTTACACAGCAAGAAAATCCAACCTTTTCAAGGCAGTCTAAATGGACCAAGTCTGATGTTTTTATTTATTGTTTTTTGGGTTTTACATTTTATTTTGGATATTTAAAATGTTTTTCCAGTTCCAGTGTGAACTGGTTTGTACAAAATTAAAGTAAGCAGACTTGCACTGCTATGGCATTATCAATATATTTATTGAAAATGGTCTCAAAACAACAATATTGTTTATCGCAGTAAGTATTGGGACAATTTATCATCCAGCAAAATTTGTTACCGTGACATTGCACTTTAAAATTCAGATATATCCACCTGTTTTCAAAGTGTCTTCTACATTTCTGACATGAGACATGCGTCATAATTCTGGACCAGAAAAAGTTGGACGCTGTAAATCAGGAAATTATGAAAGAAGTTGGTCACTAAAATGCATTATAATCCCACAACTCTTAGCTCTGACTACATCTCCTCAACAGACTTCTCCACAGAAACTGCAGTCAATGCTCCACAAAAGTCCGTTGGCTATGTTCAAACTGCAGGCCTTATTAATGTTCAGTTCCAGTTTTTTTATGAAATCAGATTTTTATGTGCATGGTTGTTTATACTTCCATGCAACTTGTGTGTGATCTCCTGTGTGAGCCGCAAACGACCTGACAGTGTCTGTCCCGCATGCGCAATGACATCAGTGTTTTGCCAACTGAATAAGAAATGCTCAGTGTTTGCAGAAGTAAATGTAGATGCTAATGGAGGAGCTTATCTTACGATTTTTAAGTTGTTAACCAGAGGCAGGACAGCAACAACTTATTCCTTATTAACGTCCGCCATGGTGGTTGTTTTTCTTTTTGCTTGCGCGTCTCAGGATGCAGAATAGTGACATTTGTCGAGAAAAAAACAGGATTGGGTCACTTCAAGCTGCAGTGTGAACGTAACCTAAGTTGAGCTTCCTTTGTGTTGCAGTTATCTTGTGACGATAGTGTTGGCTCCCATTGCGGAATAAACTTTTAAATCAATCCAAAAATGGCTTCATTTCCATTGGTATTTCCGTAAACAGAATGTTGCTTTGTGACGTCTACGTTCTTCTACGTATGTGGACTGCAGTAAAGTCGTAAACTGTTCACACATAAGTCTCATTGCGGTCATGTTTAATTAGTAGTATGACCAACCACACACAACTAAATAAATAAAAATGAAAACTCTGAATTGAGCATCAAGACCTGCAGTGTGAACTTGGCCTCAACAGTCCCAGAGTTTCACAGAGAATGCTTTTCAGGATAAATCTCCAACTTCAGCCTTCACAAATGGCTTTAAAGAGAGCAGAAAGATTTATTAGGATTAACTCCCAAAAGACGGTAAATTATGCATGCACACCCAAATTACCTGTCAGGGGCCATTCCTGCTGGGGATACAGCCTTATAGTGAGGTCTTGGAAGAAGACTGCCAATAACAGAAAACACCTAATCTGCAGGCAAAACCTTGGGCAGCAACTGGGGATGATTTTTGGTCGGTTTTGGCCATTCCTTATATGCTCATGTGGATTCACAACTTTTTTGATGTGGGAACAAAAATCAATGACATTTCCCTTCAGTTAAAGGAAGTAAAATAGACTAGAGCTAAAATTACAAGAAGTCGTGAAAAGAGGGTAGAGATTAAAAATGAGATTTCCTGTGAGCAACGCGATCCATTTTCACATGTTAGAGAAGCTGCACACTGCAACTGGGTGTGAAACGAGAAGCATAAATAAAACGTGAGTTTGAGGAATAAAATGTAGGGTTGTGTCTGGGTTTTTTTTCCCCCTCACATCTGATGCGCTCAACTCTCAAAAATGCCTCTTTAAGGCTATTTAAGTGACTTTGAAGTAAGGGCAGGCGATACGAACTTAAAGCTTTATGGCGATATTTTGGGGTACCATTGTGACAATAAATTAATAATATATATCGCGATAGACACATTTATACACATCAGTATCAACAGATAACACATCTGAAAGATTAGTCAATAATTTCAGAAACGCACAGAATTCTGGGAGATGTGGCACCAACTAACTTCCTCACTCTTTAGTTACCTAGCAACAACCTATTTGTAAGAAGCAGTTTAAAGTCCCCCAACCCCAAACTTCGGTTACCTAGCAACGACCTGAGTTGAGTAACTTGCAGTAGTTTAAGGTTTCTCATAACTGCTTAAAGATAAAATACAACAGTGTGGAGTGAAAACTGTGGACAAAACAGTAAAGTTTCAAGGATTTAAAACAAAAAACAAATGAAAAACTATTTAAATCTACTGATCTAAAATGGTTATATCAAAGGACTATTTTATGACTCTTTAGTCCCACAAACACAATTACTGCTCTTAAAAACTATTTGTAATATGCTCAAAGAAGTCACTGAATTAACTCCATTTAATCATATTTTCAAAATTATTGAAATCTATTGACGTTCTCATGGAACAAACAGTGGAAAAAACAGTAAAAATAATCCTGACAAAATGTGGACAGTTTTTTAAAACATAATTTGGAATTTATGACGAGAAATCTAAATTATTACTATTCTTTTGACCTGTAATCACTGAAACATCGATGTGTACTGATGATTTTGATTTACCAATTTCTCAAGTTTTGACTTGATTATTGTGATTTTACAATGTAAAGCACTTTGAACTTTGAGCACTGCCTTGTTGTTAAATGTGTTATAAAAATAAACTTGATTATCAAATAATGAATGAAAAAATTAGGCCTCCAAGCGGTAGACATATGTTGAATAATTGTTCCTGTCTTTTATGAGGTTTCCATCAGTTTTAAAATTCATTACCAAAGACAAAGCATTGGCATTTTTATGTCATGGAAAATATACTTGTTCATGGGCTTGTAAATCATATTTGAATATGTTTTTCATTTATTTTTGTATAACTGAGTATATTTGAATTTAGATGAGATTCCAGCATCAGATTAGAAACTTTAAGGCTTAACGCTCTCATAAATAAATCATGTGAAAGACATATTTTTCCTTGGTGTTGTCATATTTTCTCCAGCTACTGATTTTATGAAGCACAAACTGATGTTACGATTGAATAAATTTAGCCGGAAGCTTGTGGATACAAGAGTATTCTTGTGCTATAATCTGCACGAAGTGTCACGAAGTCCACGCTAACTGCAGTTCTCTCTCTTCACAGAAACCTAAAGGACACGAGTGAAAGGAAATACAATGCCTGTTCTGCCAAGGCTACCTTCCAGCTTATTTCCATAATTCACAAGTCATTCCGGACATTTCCCTGCCGATTGGATACCATGATAGGCAATCAAGCTCTGCTCCTGTTGATGCTCTATTTCCTGTGGCCCAGTACTGCACTGCCTTTCATTACTGGGAATATTGGGAATCTGTTTGGGATGCCAGAGAGTGATGGGAAGGTTCTTCAGCGTTCCAAACGGGGATGGATGTGGAATCAATTCTTTCTGCTCGAAGAGTACACAGGAAATGACCATCAATACGTTGGCAAGGTAAAGTGTCCAAGTGCATTGTCTGCAGAGTAATTATAGCTGGTTTAGCTTGTTGGGCTAGTGTTTGATGTAATTGGGAGGAGATGGATGGGCTGCCAGAAGTCTTGATTGTTACGGGCAGAGCTAACTGGAGCAATCAGATCCACATGAGTGCATACCAATGGCCTCTCTACCTGCTTTCCAGCGCACTCCTAATCCAGTTAAAAAGTACAGTTATACTTAAAATCAAGCTTCCACTGATTCAACACTGAAGAATATCATCTGGTTTCTACTATCCATTTCTCTCAGGGTATTAAAGTATAAGTTGGAGAAAAGTTACATGTGACAGGGTTCTTGAAAATGCTTGAATGTTAATTAGGCATTCATTTCTGTATAAAGTCATTTATACAAAATTATTGTTTCAAGCTTCACAGTTTTGTAATAAAGTGCAATCTAATGCTTGATGAAAAGCCTACATTTGGAAAATGTTTACAGTCGAAGCAAGATGCTCAATGAATAGACATATAGTCTTACTATCTCAAGTTAAATTAAACTAAACTTTTCTTCTTTTATGTCTATTAGAATCACTCAAATCTATATGCTAAATGTTTGAAAACGTAGCGGTTTTCAGGTTTTATTTTATTTTATTTTTTTTTTGCCTATATTGTCTTTTAGTATTTAATTTGAGCAGGGCTGTTATTTATCTTAACACGGTTTGTTCTGATTGTTTCAGTGTCTACAACAAATAGAGAAAAGAACAATGTAATATGTTGTGAAAACTTTTTTTTTAAATTATAGTACAAAAAGTTCATAGGAAATTCACCAGTATTTCACCCTTTGTCAGTTAGCTTAACACATGCGCAAAATCCGCTAACATTAGCACGAGTTAGCATACAGGAATATGTCCCGTTTTATACAAAAACATTCATCAGATAACAAATGACGTGACTTAGTAGTTAAATAATATCTTCAAATCTTAAAAGTCAACAACATATATCGATTAGAAGACATATTTACTGACCTGTGACAGAAAACATGAGGCATACATGTTGAGCTTCTGTTAGCATTTAACAGGAAGGTTTATTCTTCTGCGTGTGTCCATAAGCCTTTTCTATGCAACCAATGCGACAGACGCCCCCTAGTGGCTGGGTGTGGAGTAGCACCGGATAACTGAAATTAACACCTGGATCTCTGACTACCTCACAAACAGACTACAGATTGTGAAACTGAAGGATTGTGTGTGTAACCAGGTGGTGAGCAACACAGGAGCACCACAGGGAACTGTACTCTCACCACTTCTTTTCACTCTTTACACTTCAGACTTACAGCACAAGTCAGACTTTTGTCATCTACAGAAATATTCAGATGACTCTGCAGTCGTCGGGTGTATCAGAGATGGACAAGAAGCTGAGTACAGAGATCTAGTTGACTGTTTTATGGCATCTTCTTGAAATGAGAAGACTGTAGGTTTCAGGAGAAACAGGGTTACATCTAACCCTATTTTCATCATTGGAAAAGAAGTGGAGGTGGTTGAGGACTATAAATAGGTTTCGCTTGGACAACAGCGTGGACGGGAGATTTTTTTGAGGAAGCTAAGATCATTCAAGGTTTGCAAGGTTTGAGATTTTAAAAGGCTCAACAAGGCTGGTTCTTTAACGGGGACGACTGGAGGTGACGACGAAAAAAAAAAAAAAAAAAAATTCATAAAACTAATGAAATTATGGACAACCTTGACCATGCTCTTCATGAGACTGTCTTAGAAAAACAGTGTGTCTTCAGTAAGAGAGTTCTGCAGAGTCGTTGTAATATAGACCGCTACAGGAGATCTTTCCTGCCAACAACTTTCACTATCTACAATAACTCTAATATGAGTTACAACAAACATTTAATTTTTCTTTGGGATCAATAAAGTATTTTTGAATTTGAATTCTGATTGGTCAGAAGTCAATAACAAAACACTTGTCTTTTCCAGCAGCCATTGTACTGTACAAATCAGAGGTAAAACCAACTGACCAAATGTGCTGCAGCTCAGCTTGGGTTGCTAAGTAACGGGCTGGTCTTTGCGGGGGTTGCTAGGTAACTGGCCAGGGTCACTAGGTGAGAGGGCAGTGCCTGCTGAGTTTTCTGAAATGGCTACTTTTCCAGACACGAAAAAACAAAAACTTTTTTTTGGTGTCTGCACTGCTTAGAAGCAGTACAGACTCAAATGGAAATGTACAAAAAGGTACATATTAGCATAATACGTCCCCTTTAAAATTGTTTTGCAGGGGGCATTCTCTTGACCAGAAAAACGAGAATTTGTCTTTGCAGTGAGACAAATTCACTGCAAAGTGAAAAAATGGAACTTGTTCCACAAAAAAATGTACTTACTAAAAGTACGATAAGGAGGCTGGACACATTATCAGCACGAGATTCAGCTTTGAGATCCAATTTAAGGACTACAACCGATCCCAGAGAGTTTTGGGACAACTCTTCTCATCTTCAGTCCCGGAGATCAGAGTGGGTCCTGTCAGCTCACCGGCTCACCGTAAAGACAGGCAGCATGGTGGAACGCCGCCGTTATCAACTCAGAGAGGGAAATGAGGCGACTGTCAACACCCAATTTTCTCAGAAGAAGGCTTGCTTTCATCAGGCACCTCAGTCTCCGGAGAAAACAAGTGTCTCGTGAAAGGGTTGAGTGGAGAGGGGTGGGGGGATGACAACTTCCTCTGCAGAAACTATCATCCTGATGTGGGTGAGGAGAAAGGTGCAGCGTATAATAAACAGAAAAGAGAGACAAAATGGAAAGGAAGAAAACATATCAATCAAAAAATATATATAAATTCACTCTCTGATATGTGATGATGCAGCAAAGCAGCTGCTGTGAAGTATAAAAGGAGCCATCCGGTGAATCATCAATGACTTTTCCTTTTTTCCCCAAACTCTTTGATGCCTCTTGGCATCCAACTTTCGTGGCAATCACATTCGCCGTCTCTGCGCTCTCCTTGTGTCTAAAGTCATTAAACTGTCAGAACTTCATGACGGTTAAATAATTTACAGGTGGCGGTGCTGGTGAAGGCTCTGTGCTTCGTGTTTTACAGGCGGAGGCGTGGCGATACGCATCGGTAAATCTAACAACAGCCACAATCTTCTGCCGGTGACAGAGAAACAGAATGACTTCATAGAGGAAGCACAAACACAGGAAGAAGCATATTATTTCACTGACAAGTTCAATAATAGCAAACAGGGCGCACTTTGGATTTAATTATGAGTCTATTCAATCTCTTAAAACATTATGACTCATCTTGAACTGAGGAGTATTCTAATTTTGACTCCATTTTCTGATTTCTCCCAGTGGCTATCACCTTTCAAGGCAGCCAGATTGTGAGATTCTCGAGATCATGATCACAGAGAATCCACTTTACCTCTCCAAGCTGTAGAGAGCACTTATATGGATGCCTTTGTTGCAACTTATTCAGATTTATTATCTATATGGGGTTTTGAATAGGCATCACCAATAATACACATGTAATCTACATAAATCACAGCAGATAGTCTTCTACTCCACAACAGAATACATTTTATTTTACTACTTGTTTTCCGGTCTTTGTAGTGTAGAGCTACAAAATAAAAAATAAAAAATGAGAACAGCCTGTTGAATATTCAATGTTACATTTATTTACCGACATAAAAAATATTTTGTTTTACATATTAAAAGAAGGTCAATTTTGAGTCAGTAAATTGAGGTTGTGTTCACTTTAAAGAGTCGTTCAAATGATACTTTTTTAGAAACGAAAAGCCATTTTATTTTAATATGGTTTTATTTTAATTGTTTTTATGGGTGAAGTTCACAAAAAATTAAGTTAAGTAAATAACCTCGGTATAATCTTACACAAAAAATTATACCTATAGTTTAATAAAATATAAAAATTCAAAATATGTCAAATACCCATGTAGTTTTTACAGTTATGTGCAGTAACATGTGTTAGTGTTATTTGTAAATTAGAAACAAAATAAATGGAAAATGTAACAGAGAAAAAAAAGTGGTCAGGTTGAATGTTTTTCATATTTCCCATTTACCACTTGAATTTCAGGATGACCGCCATTTTTAAAGATGTCCGCCATTCTTTAGCAAAATTACCCATTTTCATAACTTTATGCTACATCATGTGTATAATATTGGTCATCCTACCCATACAACATTAAAGTAATGATATGTAGCAGAATCAGAAACGAGGACTTTGCTGTTTGCGAGTCTCACACCAAACGTCAAATAGAAGAAGAAGAAGATGAAGAAGATGAAGAAGATGTGTGGCTCAGACTGATTAGCGTTAGCTTCCGATTAGTGAACTCATCTTTTTGGTTAGCTGTGCCCACCCCTGGTAGTAACTAGTGCCAATTTTAACGCAAACATATATTCTCCCTTACAAACACGGCGGCCATTTTGAAAACTGTGCAAAAAGATCAAAAAAATATTTTTGATTTCAATGATTTAAAATATATGGGCTATGATTTACACATTTATCTAATTGCACATTTTATTGCAATTAGATAAAGATACACTTTCCATGACAATCATGGCGGCCATTTTGAAAAAAAAAAAGATCAGGAAATACAATTCCTGTTGGTCCAATTATGTATAAAATACATAAAAAATACATAAAAAGTACTTGTTCGTCTGGCAGATTATTTTAATTACAAGATGTAAGTGAAGTAAGTTGCCAGTGAAGCTAGTACTTTTCCCATCAATATTAATTATTGACATAAAACAAGCTCTCATATCGTGCTGAAACGTTACATGTAAGTTAGTTTTGTCTTATTTGAATTGTGCTGAGATATTTCCACTAGAAACTAGACAAAAAAAAAAAAAAACTCTAATATTTTGTGCTTTTGCAGTGTTTGACTTTGACCAAAAGGCTTGGGTTGGGGACTTTGGAGTAGAGGTGAAAGACTAAAGATTTATCTGGAAAGCCAATTATCTAAAATTGACTCATTGTTTGGATGATTTTATAGAAACTTTGTACTTTTAGCGTCAAAACTTGAACTTACCCTCAAAGACTGTAAACTTGATTAAGAGAAGAATATGAATTTGATTCATTACAGTGTTATTTTTAAGGAACATCACGTCTTTCCTTCGCCCGTAATTGCTCATTACATAATTGACATAAATTATACATTACATACGTTGTGTAATTATATAATCACAAAGTCGACTGCAAGAAAGAAAGAAGCGAGACAGAAAAAAGAAAGTAATGAAACTGCGAAAGAACTCATGTTTTGTACAAAGCTATCAAAGCTTTGATGGTCTTCCACATAAAGATCACTTAATAGCCTTTTGCAGTGCACTGTGGGAAACCTTGTTTATTTCACATTCAATCAAACCTCTCCAATCAGCCTTTGCACGCTCGCTAACTGTCACTTGAGGTTGATTTCTTGATTATGGCAGTGAAACTAGATGTAAAGAACTGTCAGTCTTTTATTGCCCTCTGCTCAGCTGAAAGGGAAAGCGGTGCACTGCTGCTCCACAATAATGCTTATCGCAGCGTTCAAAAGACACGCCGTTTTCAGGCTTTTGCGTGCCGAATGCTGCTGACAGATACCAGAAAATGACATAGACAAACAATTACTCATTCCGTTTGTAGGATTTGCAACCTTTTACCCTCTGCTTTGTCGCAGCTGTCGTCGTGATTAAAAGAAGCACGGCGTATCTTTTGGTCCACTCATATCCTATGCAATCAAGTGCAAAACCACCCTCCCATAAGAAGAAAAAGGAAGAAAAAAATCTCATTTTAACATACTTTGAGAAGGCCATTAGTGAGTGTGAGCACTGTGCTGTCTGCAGCTGCGGTGGCCTACTTCTTAAGCGAGGCTGTGAAGTGTGAACACTTGCAATGCTGAGCAATACAGCCGCAAACTTTGGATTCAGGAGCACTGGAGTGGTGTGTTTGAAGTGAGCTAAATCCTATTAAATTCTTGGTACACTGCATTGTGCTGTGCCTTGTAAACAAAATGTGCTGGCCTAAATTAAAATATTCAAGGTAGCTTGCTTTGTTGTGCTAATATTTGGACAATAAGCATCCAGGGGAATTCGGAAAGGAAGGCCTCGTTTGATAAATTTTTGCGTAAGTAATGGAAAATCGTAAAGCGCATTAAGAGATACGGCGAGCTGCAACTTTAACCTGCAGATGTGACATTATAGCACAGTAAAGAAACACAGCCCAGGTCTTAAAAGGCGCAGGGAGAGAGAGGAGAAAGAGTAATTATTCTGCATCCATTCTGTGCTCTATTTTGCTATCTCCTCTTTGCAGCAGCGAGCAATGCTTACCAGAGACCTGACAAGAATTGCCAATGATTTTTTCCTGCTTTACTGACAATTCCTCAGTGTTTGTGCAAAGCGATTTAACTCATCAAGGCTCTCCTCTGTGCTTCTGTTGTAAGGCCTTGAAGAGGCTGTGTTTGTGCAACGGGGCCTTGGAAGACGTGCCGCTAAGTCTCTGCAAATATAGTGCGGATGTGCTAACATTTGATTTTCTAAGGGGAGGCTGTGCAAAAACACTTTGTGCCACGCTTATTCAAAATTACCAAGGCGTTTTTTTTCCAAGCTGTGCAAACTGATATAGATTTAAGTCATGAATATAGATTCACGTGTCAGAGAAGAGCCGCACACTTTGGTTTGTAGCCTTTAAAGCGAGGGAGTTTTGAGTTTTTGTGGTATTATTGGATAAATCTGTGTTCCTGGCACATGTTGAAATATTTCATGCTATCACTGTTTGCACAAATGTTCCTTGTTTGCAGAAGCTCTTAGTGAGAAATTTAGCAAGCCAGAGGACAGAAACTGGTTATTACCTAAATGTTTGGCGTTCACTAATCAGGCTACTGACAGGTGACATTAACAACAGAAAATCTCTTCATCATGGCAGCTGTTAGCCGTTAGCAGGTCGGCTAAGTCAGGCAGCAAAATAAGGCTGGCAGGGTTCCAACCCAAGCTAGAAAAATCTGGAACTTAATGATATTTAAATCCATTGGCAGGTTCCACCAACTCAAATTTAAAACTATTTAAGACCAGAATGAATGGAATTTAAGACCTGCGTCCTGGTAATAGATGTAAAAAAACGAGCTAGCTTGCTACATGCTAGCTAGCTAGCTGTAGCCTCAACTGCCTCTAGTCACAGCAGTTCGGCTAGGCTAATATGTCCCACTCAGACATTTTGTCTGCACAAATTGCGGAGCATGTAGCAAAAATAATCTGCGGCAGATTTTCTAGATTTTTTTAGATTCATTATTTATTTTCTAATATTAAAATCCATTTGTCCATATACGGGGTTTCTGCAGGTTTCACCAACTTAAATTTAAAACTTTTTAAGATGATCATTAATTAAATCTAAGACTTATATATCCCACTAAAAAGCTAGCTAGCTACCAAGGGTGTGTTAGCAGCTAGTTAGCGTTAGCCTCAACCACCTTGAGTCATAGCAGCTCGGCTGTGTCATAACGTGAGGATACGCTGGATTTATTATGTTATCCTGCTGCTCAAAATTGGCTTTGCTGGTAAATATGTGTCTTCTACTTTTAGAGTATTTTTTAAATTTTCCAAATATTAGCTCAATTATGTTTTCTGTCATATTTATGCATCTTTTTTGGCTTATTGTACTGGGCGCATTTTGCACTTGTAAAAAGCGTGAGTATTTACTTACTACCTCGTATCTGAACTATGTTTGATCACATTTGGTAGAATATTTGCACCACATGGCTAAAACGTTACTGCTTTACAAAGAAGCTGCATCCATTTGTAGCCAAAGCAAACATTTATTGTTTTGGGCCCAGCTTGACACATCGATCTTTGATTTGACCACTAAGCCTACGGTGCAATGATGACTAAAACCTTCATGTAGATGAACATGTGGTACCTGTGCAGCTGTTCATGAGGTCAGCCGCAGGAATTTATCTTCAGACTTTTTTGAGTTTTGGAAAAGGAATAAACTCTATCCTGATCTTTAGTGTTTAACCATTTTATCTATTATTTTCCACCAAATCTCTTTGTCTGCAGTGCATTCTTAATGATAGACCCGACACTTTGTCGCATGTTCATTTTCTTCTTATTTGTGGCAAATTGCATCCACCGGTTAATCAGTTGCTGAGAAACCCACTAGCATCTTTAAATATTTTATTTAATACAAGCAGCATTATAACTGCAGTCAATAGCTGTGTTCCCATTACAAATGTTTGCAGAGTTAGGCTATAAAATAATATCCCAAACTTTTGACATCTCATTGAATCCATCATCTGAACATGGAAAGATGACATTAAACTTTCTTTGTAATGTTAAAAAGTTCATTTGGGTGTGAAAACTTTCACCAACACTATTTAAAAATACAAGTTTCTCCAAAGACTGACGGATGTTTTTAAGGAAGCATGTTTGCTCCGTTGGTAAAGTACAGGCGTCTTTGATGGCTGCTTGTTTGTTATTCTCATATTCATTTTTATTTTACAGGATTAGCAACACAGACAGGGAAATATGGTAATGATCACATAAAAAAGCCAGTGCAAAATATAATCAAAAGCTTTAGAGGGAGAAAAAAAGGCAACTCCTGTGGTCTGAAATTCTTCTGGCCTAATTAAGAAGAAGTCTGAAGAGTCCCAGTTCTGAATAACGTTGATGAAATATGTTGCTCTCATGTTGCCGAAGAGATCAGCGTCCTCCTACACGCAATACCCAAGATAAACATTTGGTTTCAAAGTAGAGGATGAAGGATTACTGTTGAATTATGAGTTTTTCAGAGGGAGAAGGTGCTTCTGTGTTTGTTTCTCATTTATTTTTATGTGGTTTGCATTAACAAATACTGCATACTGTTGCATTTCTAGCGCCGGATAATTTGCAATTCCTGTCCTCCACGTTTTTTCTTTTTATCTGGAATGAGAAGCCTATTTTGGGGGCAAGAAATTCATACGAATACTCTCCTACCTGCTTAAATTGTCCCATAAATTATAGTCAATAACAGCAGGAGCTTTTACATCCATAGCGTCCCGCTTTAAATCCTTGGTTCACTGGCCTAAAGCTCAGGAGGGAATTCAAATTCACAACAATGAATAAGTAAACATTCAAGCTGACTGATATTCTTCTTTAATAGACTTGGAATAATAGGGTTCATCTGCATGAAATTTTCTTCAAAAACAGAGCCAAATCCCGCGTATACTGCTCATTTGAACTTTACGGCGTCTTGTTTTCGAACGTCGTCCTCGTTCTCTAATGCCTCCCCGGGAACGGCGGCGGCCCGGCTTGGCGTTGCGTTTTTCTGATTTCCATCCAAAAGTTGTGCTGTTGGCATCGCTCCTTCCACACGCAGGAGAAAAAAAAATAATTACTTCCCCGCGCAGCATGCAGGCATTAATATTAATAAGCTGCCGAGGTACACTCCGCGTCCCTAACTCCTTGTCATTTAAAATGTGAGCCCATGAGATAGTGCTCTAAATATATCTGCTGACAGATCCAGCGCAGTAATGAGCTTGAATCAAGTGTCTGTCACAATATGGCGCCATTACTCCTCGCCGACACCGCCAGGCTCCTCAAGGTGATCGATGGGTCAGAGGTGACTAATTTTAGCAATTGTTGCTCTGGGTCAGATTTTCCTCATTTTTTTTAAAAGGCCCAATCTGGGAGAGAAATCGGAGCATAAATTGACCTTGAGTAATGAGCGATGGCGCCCTCGCCGCAGTGGGAGGCGAAGATTTAGAGACCGAGACTGATTCCTTGGTGGGTTTACATCATTATTTCATCGCTCACAAGGGGTTTCTATGGAGCCTTAATGCACCACCATGAAACAGCTGAGGAATATTCGAAACGATTTGAAAGGACGTTAAAACATTTGAATTAGGCATGAGTCGCATGAATTTCTGATGATAACCAAGATTATCAGAATACCATAAGTAAAATAAGTGAAACTTTAATTAGATAGCACGTTTTCAGGTCCTAAACCAAGAGAAAATTAGTTTTGGCACAATATGTGTGTGTCAAGCCCAGAACAAAAGGAAAAGACACTAATTTTGACGTTAAATTGTAACATTTTATTGAACTAAAATGGAACATTTCCAGTTTTCTGGGCGTCTGTTTCAGATTTGTGATGCATAAAAACTGAATTCTGCTTTTCCATGTTTGGAGGCCTGAGTGGTCTGGAAGGTTGATTCAACAAGAACAGATCTTTAATGCATTTGGTGCTAAACCACTGAATAATTCATAAACTAAAAGAGGAATTTAAAGTCTATTATCTGAGCAACAGGGAGTCATTGTAAGAACTTTAAAATTGGAGTAATGTGCTCTATTTTTGCTTTTTTTTTATAGGCAGATCTGTGAAGACACTCGTACAGTAATTATTTTGACTAAAAATAAATGCATGAACAAGTTTCTCAAGATCTTCTTTGTAAATTAATGCTAGAAATGTTCTCCAGGTCATAAAAGGCTGACTTTGTAATCGTCTTTATGTGCCCTGAAGGTTCAAGTCTATCATTACACATTAGCTGTCGCTCACGACCAATCTCTCTTTGGGTTCAGGTTTTGGCACCGTGCCTTATAACTGCTTCAAAATAACAGCGTGGAGGGAAAACAGGATAAAGCAGGAAAGGTCCTACAGCCTCGTTACGCCACTAGGCTGCACGGAAGAGGACCAGGGTCACTGAAAAAAATAATTCTGACTTTTTTCTCAGAATTATACATTTTTCTCAGAATTCTGAGATTAAAGTCAGAAATCTTTTTTTCCAGTGGCACTGATCCTCTTCCATAAGTTTGGCAGTATTTCAAATACTTATACCAAGAAACTAAGAAATAATTATCAATACTGACCGATGTAATATGTTTATATATTTTTAAGTTTTTCAGCCACATTGTCCAGCCCTAAACCAACTTTGCTTTAAAAAGAGTGGAAAAATAAAACTTCCACAACTAAAACTTCCACCTTTCAGTCAGACAGAATTACTTTCTAAAGTTTGTTCTCTGTATTGGACAAACTTGTCTTCTGATTTCCAGCTGCACTCCAACGCGGACAAAGGCGACGGCACCGTGAAGTACGTCCTGACCGGAGACGGGGCTGGCACCCTGTTTCTGATTGACGAGAAATCCGGAGACATCCACGCCACCAAGCGGCTGGACCGGGAAGAGAAAGCCATGTACACGCTTCACGCCAAGGTCCTGGACAGAAACACCAACGCAGAACTCGAACCCGACACCGAGTTCAACATAAAGATCCACGACATCAACGACAACGCGCCCAGATTTGACAAGGAGGTGTACTACGCCAGCGTCCCTGAAATGTCTGAAGTCGGTGAGTCTTTGGTTTGGTTCTGAGGGGAAATTATTTTTACTACAATAAACATGCAGATTCATGCAGATACACGGTCCCAATCTGAGCAAAGTCACTACAAAGCATGAATTCCTGAATAGGGCGGAAAATCTTATTTTCACAGTGTCCTCTTATTTTTAGAGTATACTGAAAGTTTGTGGTGATGATTCTGATTGACAAATATTGCTGTTTTTGCATAAATTGCACGTTACTTTTTCTGTATACATTTTTTATTGTGCTGCTGGTTCCATTATCTAAAAAATATATATTCTCATAAACAAGATTATGAAGAAAACAGCAGTTTCTGAAAACACACCGGACATCACAAATATTGTCCAACGTAAACATCATGTTGACTGATATTTATGGCAGCATGTTATGGTCATTGTTGACAGAAAAAGTTAATTTCCACCAAAAAACTCAGATGGAGATTAATCTCAAATTTTCTAGAAAAATCTAGGAAATGTCTGGGCTTCAAAGTTGAAAATTTGCAAGAAAAAGACAAATTAATCTCAAAAATTTGTAATATTTTAAACGCATAAATTTCCAAGTGTCTGAGAAAATATCTAACTTTTGGAAAAATTTTAAAAATCTTTTCTAGAAAATGTTTATTTTTTTCACATAAATGTATTTTCTTAAAACTCAAAGTTTAGAAAATCTGACAATAATTTCAAAGTTAAAGTGAATAGCAAAAATAACATACTTTGTTTTGTTTTTTTATTTAACATCAATAACTGAAGTTTATCGTGAAAACAATAAATTAAAATCATAAGAATTTTTTTGATAAATGACAACATTTATCAAGAAAACAGCAGCTGTAATTTGTTGTAATGGCTGTATGAAATGCAAATCTATGACACTTAAAATACAGTGTGAAATATGACAATGTTCAGTCACTAGAATGACCACTACAAAGGTAGAGTTGAAACGATTAATCGTATTAATTGTGATTAATCAATTACCAAAATAATCGTCAACTCATTTAGTAGTCGATTAATCGTTAGAGTGTAAAAACTCAAAAAATGTCATTTGTTGAAACAACATATTCAGTCAGAGCAGTAATAAAGTCAAAACTATACAAAAATATTTGCATTTGTATTTAAGATGAAAATACTTTTGTCTGTAAATCAAAGAAAATCTCTTTTAGAAGAGAGTCAGGCTGGACTGGTAGTTTCAGCTTCACTACAGGAATATGCTGTTTGCTTTCTAGGCACTAAGAAAGCATTAAGTGATTAAATGAAAAGTCTGTGGAATGTGCCAATTTTATAATCGATTAATCGTCAGAATAATCGATTAATCGTTAGTTGCTGCCCTAAAATAGACAGAAATCTGCACAGACGTACCTCAGAAGTGTTGCAGACAAATTGAACACCATTCCATTTTACAGGAAAAGTATTTTGTCACTCATATTGTGATTAATATTAATAGAAACTACATCAAAGCTGCCTAAAAGTAAGTCAGACTTTTTGCCATATTATTAACTTTATCCCGTCAAAGCCTGGGTCCCTGTAAGTTTCTTGTACCAGAAAGTTTGCGTTAGATCCTTTGGGCCCTGTGGATTTGCAGGATGGTTTCGCCTTGCTTCCCGCAGATGCCATTAGATTGCATCAGATTTGGATTTATTGAGGTCGAGGGCTTGGATGAGCACCTCCGTTCTCTCTTTCTGTTCTTTGATCCCTGCCTGCACCGTTTTGATGATGGCCCCCTTTGCTTTTTGGATGAACTGCAAATCCTAGGCAAACAGGACATAGACGCTGCTCATTTTACAGCCCAGCGGTCATAATGTTATGGGTGGTCAGTATAGACTGAGTAGAATATGGTAAGTGGGAGTGTTGCAATAAGCAATAAATCAGTTAATTGCATGATAAATTAAGATGAACTCATTTGCATGACGTAGAGTTTTTCTCTTTTTTTCTCTCTTTCTACCAAAAACTGGATGACAAAATTCTTCAGTTTGGTGCTTTGGTCTCAACTCGCCTTTTTTTGAGGGACAATTTTGTTTACAGACACTTCATAAGTCATTTTATTTGTTCTGTTGTTTTCTTTAGTCATTTAAAATGTCTTCCAGTACCAGTGCTAACCCTCATCAGCCAACTTTGTGGTACCCTAACTCCGCCATACTTTGAGCTATCTGACAATTTCCAATGGTTTCTGAAAAGGGAGACGTAAAGCTTTAGAGCCAATATTGGGTTATTACGGTAATTTCATTCCTGCTGTTGCAGGGAGTATGTTTTTCTTTGGTTTTCTCTGATGAAACGCACTTTTAATAGACAGTAAATTGTGAAAATAACTGCTAGAGATTGAAAGTTGGAGAAATGGGCAAACATATTTCCTCAGGACATTTAAAGAACTTAATATAATTAAAATAAGCAAAAATATCCAGGTGGAGACTTGAAACTTAGGCCTTAAATAGTTTCAAAACAACAGTATTATCATAAATTGCAATAACTTATTGTTCAGCTTTTATCGTGACTTCATGGTAGGAGTTTTAAAATGCAGATGAGGCAAATTACTGTGATAAGTGCAGCTTTTCTGCAGTTCTCTGACTGCTATGTTTGGTCAGCCTCATTGGGCATTCATAATAAGTAACGCCATTTGCCATTTTTAATAGGCAGCTGAAATATTGAAAGTTTAGATTGTCACAGTCTTTCCAATTAAGTGTTTGCTTCATTGCACTCCATTCGAATTCAAGTAATGGGAATAAATCGGTTGGCTTGAATATAAACAAAGCTTATGAAAATAATGCATGCAAGCTGAAATCAATCCTCAATTACGAAGCTGCAAATTAATACACAGGAGCAATCAGGGGTAAATCAAAAAACCAATTGCCTTTATGACAAATAACAATACTCAATTTGGAATTCATAAATGGGTGTCCTCAGTTTTCCCAGCTGCACAGGCTGCAGGGGAGAGGTGTGTGTCAGGGTCACCGCTACTCATCTGTGGACTAATAAGCTGCCTCACATGTTGAAACTGAACACGTTACTTTATCAAGGCAGCCAGCCATGGAGAATCAGCAACCCCCTCTTCCCTTTACGCTATCGGTGGAGGAACTAAGTGAGACAGATGTTCAGGGGATCATTAGTATGCACAGAGACAGTCAGACCCAAACAGGACATGGCAGAGGTCTCCTGAATGCCAAGGACAGTATGTGCAGTGTGGGTTGCTGAAACGCTCGGCTGGATAAAGCGGGGTTTATTACTGAGGCGATTTCCGTGTTTGGATGTCTAAGAGGAGCTGAGCTCATTGTGAGCTTCAGTTATTTGGGTTTTTTTTACACGAGATTCTGATTGTGTAACCTTGAGCAAAAATGGCGGGATGTCCGATTTGTTATGGTTGTCAAAAAATATATACAAAACAAAATGGTTGTTTTGTTTGAAATTGTACAGCATTAATTTTGAAAATACACGAGCCACTGAAACAAAAGATCAACTTGAAATGTTCTCCAAAGAAGAAATCTTGATAAACCCTGAGCCCAAAACAAAACTGGAAATGATTAATTGATTAATCATCAGCATAATCAATTAATTGGATAAAAATGATTTTTCCGTTATACCACATAAGTATTTTTATACACTAGAAATACATTAAAAGATGAAAATAAATAGTTCAGTTCCTTTTCTGAATGAGAAAATAACCATCTTATTGCCAACACCATATTTATTATGGCTGTAAAGCAAAAAACAAATATAAAAAATTATTTTATTTGCTTTTATGTTTGAAATTGTAAAGCACTAATTATGGAAATATATAAGCTACTGAAACAAAGGTCAATTCAAAAATATTCTCAAAAATCTTGATGATCCCTGAAGCAGATATGACAAAAATGGAACCGATTAATCGATTGTTCTGACGATTAACTGATTAATCGGATAAAGAATTTGGCACACTGTGCAGATTTTTCATTTCACCACTTAAGAATTGTTATAGAATATTAGAAATTCATTAAAAGATTCAAATAAAACAATTCATTTCTTTTTTTAAATAGCAAAATAAACATTTTATTTATGTCGCGACCTCTAACAAACTTGTATCTCATTTATTTTAGGTACATTAGTACGACTGAGTATTAGGGCCACAATAAGGAAATAAAAAACAAAGTTATATTACAAGAATAAATCGTACGAGAATAAAGTTGTGATATTACAAAAATAGTTGTAATATTGTGACTTTATACTTGTAATATGACTGTTGTATTATGTTGACTTAATTCTTGTACGGTCATATTCTGAGACCATACATTACGATTTTATTTTTGTGTGCGTGTTCTCATAGTATGACTTTATTCTCATAATTAAAAAAAAAATCTTAGTATGGCCCTAAAACTTCATAATATATTTAACTTGAATTAGTTTGTCAAAATCTATATTCAACTCTTGTCCTTTTTAACTAGATGCATTAGGATGCATTAGTTTTGACAGGTGCCTGATTTTTTCAGTCTCACCAAAGCTCAAAGGAAACGCACAAATGAAATGGGAAAAAGAAAAAACAGGGTTTAATCACTGAGGTGCCAGGAGAAACTAAACTCCAGCCCTGTTTTTAGGCCATCTAGTCACTAAAGATTAGTCACTGGCTACTGGTTGAAACAGTAACATGAGGGCACGGTTGGTATTAAAAGCTGGAAAAAAAAACTGCATGGCTGAAAAGCGCTCTGAGGCCTGCAGCCAGCCCATGCAAATTGAAAGCAAACAAGAAAATAAGTTGACTCAGATCACAGCATTACAAACAGCTGAACTCGACTGTGTGTTTTCTTTGAATTTCACAGGTACGTCTGTGGTCACAGTGACTGCCACTGACGCCGATGATCAAACATACGGAAACAGCGCCAAGCTGGTGTATAGCATCCTGCAGGGGCAACCATATTTTTCTGTGGACTCAGAAAACGGTAAGACAAACCCGGCAAGGTCTCTGATGCCTTTCTAATGTCATGAAAAATTATATGTTTGTCAGATTTTCATGATTTGAATCACAGAACGGAATAAAACACAACATTAAGGAGATCAGACAATACTTTAAGCAATGTAAAGTAAGATTTTACCTTTTAAGCAATATGATAGTGCGGTACACTCGGTTCGAATGGGGACCAAATTTGTAACATTTGATACATTCTTCAGCTGCTGCGTTTCGCTTTCACACTGAAAATAAAGTTTTTGAACAAACCTGTTCCCCTCCTCTCCTGTGGGGGCGCTGCACCAAGAACTACTGAAGGAAACGACAGGAAAACCTCAGAGGAAGACACTGAGTGCAACTTCCTTCTTGACAAAATGTAAACAAAACTAGAGTGGCGTCAAATTTTAGCGGTTGTAGGATTTCTCGCTGGTGAAAGACCATGAGTCATTTCTCTCGCTAGTTCTTCACTGTTTTGGTTTAATTTACCCAGAATGCCGTGTGGTACAATCCACTTCCTGCTTTTGGCGGTCACTTATGGATTCGAACTCCACCAGAGTTCATGTCGCCAGAATTTCTGTTAGCATGATTTTTTTTTTAAGCAATTTGGGGTAAAACAGCTGAAAATGTTAAAATTTAGAATAATCCAGTATATTCTGCATTGAAATACTTCTGGAGAATAAACTATTTAGATTCATGTAGACATCTGGTATTGAAAATAACCCAAACATGGATTCTAACCTTATCAGGAATCTGAATTCCTTTGAGATCTCATCAAATTGTCATATAGATGTAATAAAATGTAATTTTTTTTATACTAGGAACCATAAAGACAGCTCTACCTGGCATGGACAGAGAGGTGAAGGAGCACTACCAGGTTGTGATTCAGGCCAAAGACATGGCAGGACAGATGGGGGGGCTTTCAGGGACCACGACAGTCAGCATCTCCCTCTCCGATGTAAACGACAGTCCGCCACGCTTCGCCAACCGTAAGGACCTCCCAATACATCTCCACTGACTCAACAGAGGCTTAAACCGCTGAAAAACGGACATTTAAATTTCATTTAGATTCCTTCCGAGTGACTACGGTGGAGTCTACGGAGATAGGTGGCGCCATCGGACGCATCAAGGCCGACGATCCCGATGTGGGCCAAAGCGCCGAGATGGAGTACAGCATCGTTGGCGGTCACGACACATTCAACATCATCACCGACCAGGCGACGCAGGAAGGAGTCATCATTATTAAAAAGGTATCGCCCCATTCTATTCAAGTTTCTGCACATTTTGTCATGTTGCACACAGAACTTCCTGTATTTTACTTGGATTTTAAGTAGTGGTTTATTATGAAATGAAGGAATATTACACAATATTTGTAGTATTTTTAAATCTGATTAAATCCACTGCAATCAGTTGTGTGTAATTCAGTTAGGGCTGAAACGATTAATCGTCTTAATTGTGATTAATCGCTTATTGAAATAATTGTCAACTAATTTAATATTTGATTAATCATATTCAAACAACATATTCAGAGTAATAATTAAGCCAAAAATGTAATTATCATAACAGTAACAAAGAATTTCAAACCTCCATCTTAGTGCATTTAATCTATATAATGTGTTTCACTTTGAGACAAGCTTCCTGAAATAAACACTTTTTAATAATATTCTAATTTATTTAGTGTGTCTGTTTTCAGCCTGGGGTTAGCTATTTTTTTTGGTTTGTTGATACATAAAATGCATTATTTTTCACCTAACTGCTAATTATGTTCGACTTTGTGATTTTTTTTTAAACTTATTTATTTTTTTACAGGAAATACCCGAAAGACACATTTAAGTTTGTGGTTGTAAGCAGACAAAATGAGAAAAATAATACAAGGAATATTTTTTTTCAGTCAACTATTTATCCCTAGAAGTTTTTTTTAATGGTTTAAGGGTTGTTGGTATGTTTCTAAATATCTTGGGATTGAAATGAACTTGAAACTTATTGCATATTTCCATTACTGCCGAACCTTAGCCGTCTTTTGAGTCAGCCTGGATTTACAAAACAACTCCCTCCCAACATTACAGAACATTTAACCCCAGCATGATTTTCTTATGAAGAAAAAATGGCCCCCTGAAAACATTTATTCATGCAAAAAAAAAAAAAAAAAGATATGACAGGATTTATTTTTGAAGCGCAGTGTAAAATCAGATATCATAAGCCTGTAAAATGAATAATATAAAGGAGCCTTTTGCAAGAAACTCTCTTTAGTTTTCCCCTAAGATCTTCTAGTATTCCTGACTTGGATTTGTTACTCTGAATTTAGAGAGGCAGTAAGATAAAGGCAGACAAATGAAACGCAATGAATCGCATATCAAAATCCCGGAGGCAGGCTTTCTCTTTTAAATGGAAAAGTCTACAGCTTTCCTTCTCTGGTGCTCTTTCATCTCCAGGCGCTGGATTATGAAAGTAAGAGGGACTACGAGTTCAGAGTGGAGGTGAAAAACACCTACTTAGACGCCAGGTTCATCCACGGCGTGCAGTTCAAAGACTACGCCACGGTCAAGGTGACGGTGGAGGATGTGGACGAGCCGCCCGTCTTCGCCCGCAACCCTTACATCATCGAAGTTCACGAGGACACGGCCGCCGGCAGCTTCGTCGGCGTTGTGCTGGCCAGGGATCCTGACGCAGACAACAAGCCAGTGAAGTACGTTTCTCACAATAAGGATCCCACATGAGTTATCTTCAGCGATTTACAGGCTTTGGATTTGACTGAAACGATTAATCGTGATTAATTGTGATTATTCTGTTATGGACTTCTGGAGTGCACAGACTCAAAGAAGTTTTCTATCTGTAAATATGTCCCACCTAAAACTTCTTAATTAATTGTTAATTCAAACAGAAAAAACTGAACTTTTAACATGTTGATGTGAGAAGACGGACTGAAATGATTTAATAATGATTAATCAGTTATTGCCGATTAATTGATAACTAGAGTATGCAGACTCAAAAAGTCTATTTGCTAAAATTAAAACTAAGAGCAGTAATAAAATAAACAGTATAGACATCTTGCATATAAGATTAATGTTTTTTTTTTATCTGTAAATATATTCTACCCAAATATTTTCAAGTAGCAGTTTTACCTTCACTTAGTTGAAATCCTTTTTTAAAAGATCTCCTATGAAGCACCTTTTGCTAACCAATTATTAATCGATTAATCAAAAATAATCTACTGATTATGTCTACACTGTGATGATGTTAATTCAAGCAGAAAGGGCTGAGCTTTTAACATGTTGACGTCAGAAGTAGGGCTGAAATTATTAATCGTGATTAATCAGTTTCTGAAATAAACATCAATTAATTTAGTAATCGATTAATCGTTAACTGGAGTACACTGACTCAAAAAAAGCCCATTTGCTGAAATGACATACTGAGAGCAGTAATCAAGCTAAAACTTTACAAAACTAAACATTTTGCATTTAAAATATAATTATTTTTAAAAAATCTATTCAGCAACTTGTGTTGTCCAGTTGGTAATCAGTAAATCAAATAGTCAACAGATCAGCTCAACACTATATTGATGTTAAGTCAAGCAGAAAGGAGTTAACTTTTCACATGTTAGAAGTACAGCTGAAACGATTAATCAGACTAATTGTGATTAATCGATTACTAAAGTAATTATCAACTAATTTAGTGATCGGTTAATCATTAGCTGGAGTAGATCAAGAAAAGCTGAAACATTTCCTGAAACAGTAATTAATCTAAAACTGTACAAACAATATATACTTTTTGCATTTAAGATAGAAATAAACTTACTTTGCCTAAAACTACCTCAAATTGCAGTTTTAGCTTCACCTGGTTCAAATTATTAAAAATTTAAGCACCCTTTCTCATCTAATTATTTATCAGTCAGTCAAATATTCAGATTAGATCTACACTGTATTTGATGTTAACTCAAGCAGGAAGACCTGAACTTTTCACCTGTTGAAGTAGGACTGAAATGATTAATCGTATTATTGAAATAATCAACTAATTTCCCTTCTTTTCTTCTTTATCTTCTACTCTTGACTCCATTTTTTGTCCTTCATTCCTTTTTCTAATACATTCTGTCAAAAATTTACAGTAAACTTTAGTGTAATATATTTAAAATTAAGTCAAATGAAGTTTCTTTACATGAAACGCTAAAAGAGACACAGGTCACCTTTTCAAGATGAATAGAGCTAAATGGCTGCATACGAATCCCACGGTGGGACAATAAATATTCTATCCCATTATGTCGATTTACAAGATAAAAGCCTCATGAAATGCATCGACTCTTTCAGTGTGAATACTTTTGTGAGTTACTGTAACTGCATGAAATAAAATCAGCTTCATTCTATAAACTTAAGGCTAGATCAATAGACCGCTAAGCAAACATTTCCTCAACAACCATGTGGGCTTTCTGCTTCGTTCTCCTAATTTGATCTCTTCGAAACTCATTCCCCTTCTTCAATTATACCAGCAAAAAAGAAAAAATCAATACAGAAAGAAGTGCGATATGGTGGATTTACAGTCTCCTTGTCAGTTTTATGCAGTGAAGATGAAAATGTGCCCACCAGGTTTATCTAATCCATCAACCCGCCCACGTGTCAGTGCTCCGACAGGGGAGACAAGGAGTGTTATTCATGAGGTCCCTACTGGAGATTTCCCAACGGAAGACGGCGAAGTGAATACAGACGATGTTTATTTCCCAGAATCATGTAAGCTCCCTCCACGGCGCCGCGCAAAGTCAAACATTCCTAATTTGCCGTATTGATTCGCGTGGGTCATAGAAACCGTTCGGCGCACATATGGCAGCCGCCCGTCCCCCGTCGCAGGAGCTGTGGCACACCACGCAGCGCTTTGTGTTGCATATTCAAATCTCGGCTGAGCATGAGAGGTGACGGTGACAAATGAGCCGACTCCAGGAAAAAAAAGAGGCATCATCTTTTGACAAAAGAGAATACGTTTTCTTCTTCTTTCTTTTCTGACTGCTAAAAAACAAATCTATGCAAATTAAACAAACAAAACCCAACATTCAGCCTAAAGCCAGAAATTTCAATTACAACTCAGCATCGTCCAGGGTATATTTAAAGGGATTCTTCTTTTCCAGTTAAAATGGAAATAAGATTTTGGATGTAATGTTTCAAAAGCATTCAGACGTTTTCAACTCTTTCACATTTTTATCACATTACAGCCACAATTCGCAATGTACTTCATCTAGGGCTGAAACGATTAATCATGATTAATTGGTTAGTGGAATAATCAACTAATTTATTAATTAATCATTAACTGGGGTACAAGGACTCAAAAAAGGACATTTGCTGATAGAACAATACACTCGGGGAGGTAATTTGGACAAAACTGTACAAAGAAATATACATTTGCAATTAAAATAAAAATAAATTTTAAATATTTTCTACCCAGCTTCACCTTGCTCAAATTCTGCAAAAACACAAAGTTCCTATTAGGCATCTTCTGCTATCCAATTATTATTCAATTAATGCAAAAAAATTTCATTCAATATAAAAAAAAATAAACATGCTATTTCCAATAAAATTTATATGTTTTAACTCAAAAAAGGAAATTACTTGTTTATGTTCATCTTCTAATGCATGTCTACTATTGTATAAAATAAGCTAAAAGTTGCTAACCCTTCTATTGCATGTCTACTATTGTATAAAATAAGCTAAAAGTTGCTAACCCTAACCCTATTTCCAAATACGCACAAATGTTTGGCTATATTTCGCTAATGTGGAAGCTACTTCCTGTTGTCTTCTTTTGCGTTTCTGACAGTAGTAACATCCTGCACCAACCCAGTGCTTTTGTGATTGACTCGTGATGCAAAAGATTTATTTCCATTGCAGTTTGTGAAGAATATTCATTTAATACGGCCAATAAACACCTTATCCCACAGCAAAACCTTACTGAAAATGGTGCGTTTCCATTTAGCTCATTTATTTTTGCCATTTCAATTTGCTCTATTCGGTGGTTAATCTGGCAACACTGTTCTAAACTCCACTCCAGCCAATCAGCTACTAAGAAAATGATTGGCGCTCTGTTATTGGCTTCTTTACGAACACCAGCCAACAGCATGTCCAGTTGCATTTAGCATTTCATTGTGTGTTCCAGCTTTACATGCCACATTTTCAAACGCTTTATGAAAAAAATTCCTAGAGTAGGGAAGTTTTCCAAGAATACTTCAGAAAAGCCCCCCAGAAAATTTAGCCAAACCGGATAGGCCATTTAGAGATTACAGTTAGCACCAATTGCTAACGATGTCCATGTCCCTCTTGCAGATACTCCATTGACCGACACACGGATCTTGAAAGGCTGTTCAACATCGATTCTGTGAACGGCACCATCACAACGCTGAAATCCCTCGACAGAGAAATGTCCAAATGGCACAACATCTCTGTGGTGGCCACCGAAATAAGTAACTTCCTCCCTCAATTCCTTAGACAGCTCTCTTCAGTCCTGAAATGCGTGACAAAGTTTCATTTTCGTGTCAGACAACCCTCGGCAGACGACTCGAGTGCCCGTGTTCATCAAGGTGTTGGACGTCAACGACAACGCTCCCGAGTTCGCCATGTCCTACGACACCTTCGTCTGTGAAAACGTCAAGGCAGGACAGGTGAAAGAAATCCGCTGAAATATGAACTCGATCTGCCTTCCAGATGATTTTGTCAATACACAGCTAGACACTGTATTTACGCGTGTGTAAACTTTACGTCTAAAACACATTACATTTCCTTTTTTGTCCATTTTTCAGAGTAAAAGTCTACTTTGTGACTTGAAACCCTTTTGCAGGAGGTTGTAGTATGAGCACTGCATTACAAGATTCATGCATAAATGTCTTATTTGCGCATCACATGCGCAATAAACCCCCGTATTAAGAAGAATTATGGATGTTTTCTCATCCCTAATACTCACTGTTTGCCGTTCCCTCTGCAGCTGATTCAGACAATAAGCGCTGTTGACACAGATGAACCGCTTGTCGGGCACAAGTTTGTCTTCAGCATAAGCGCCACCAACCCAAACTTCACCATCGTTGACAAGGAAGGTAGGATTAAGTTCAGCTCCCAGCACACAGTTAGAGACATTTGTACCAGAAACAGAAACTCTGAGTCGCTGGAGCTTCCTGCAACTTCAACTGCTCTTTTTCCTGGATGGAATATTTAATATAAAACTGCTATGATAAAAAAAACAATAAAATGTTTGGTCACTTATTTGGATTTTGACAGACTGAGTTTGCTGACTTAAAGTGACAGCGTCCCTAAAACAGCTCATTCTGAAGGGAGATCAAAATAGGCAGAATCAAGCAGACCAAATACTACAATGGCGAATTATAGCGTCACCATCGGTAGAACAAAAAGGAGAAAGTTTCTGTCAAAAAAAGTTAAATGTTTAGATTAATTTCCAAAATTTTGTAAAATAAACAAGAAAATTTCTGAACTCCAAAAGTAAAAAATTTGCAAGGTAAAAATTCAGATGTTTTTAGATTAATCTGAAATCTGAATCTGAAAATTTGCTACAAAAAATTTGGAAATTTGAATTTTGAAATTCAAAAATGTTTGACTTTTGAAAATTTCTCAAGTTAATCTAAACATTTTTGTATTTCTAGCAAATTTGAAAGTTTTCAAACTCAGAAATTTCTACTGTTTTCCTAAAAGATTTCTGAGATTAATCTCAATAGTTTTCCTAGCAAATTCTCAACTTTCTAAACTGAAATTTCCAGTTTTACTAATAAAAATTTAGATTAGTCTCAAAATGTAAATGTTTTTCTTGCAAATTTTTGCATTTTGGACCAAAATTTTTTCTTGTTTTCTCTAGATAATGTCAGATTAATCTCAAAATGTCTTTCTAGCAAAAAATTTGACTTTTCAAAGTCAGAAATTTCCACTTTTTTTTAGATAAAACTCTTTAAAATCGTAAACTTTTTAGATATCAAATTTTGGCGGAAGACGCCGTTGTAAAAATCTCATTACCCAAGAATGATTTTGTGCAAAAGATGTGATGAATGTGTGTTTCGCTCATGGATCTATCCCAACCTGTTTAATGAACCTGTTGGGGTCACAACTTATAAATTCTCAGTTTTTATCTCAAACATTTGTGACAAGAGGACATCCGTTGGTTTGACCTGTCTTCCTGCAGACAACACTGCCAACATCCTGACGAGGAGGGGCGGGTTCAGCCGGCGTGAGATGAGCATGTACTTCCTCCCCGTGGTGATCTCAGACAACGACTACCCCATCCAGAGCAGCACCAGCACGCTGGTGGTGCGCGTGTGCGCCTGCGACAGTCGCGGCAACATGCAGTCCTGCAGCCCGGAGGTGCTGCCCTTCTCGGACGGCCTCACCACCGGAGCGCTGGTGGCCATCCTGCTCTGCGTGATCATCCTGCTCAGTAAGCATCCGACTCATGTGGTGGTTTGTGGCAGGAGAGGAAATTAATCCATTGTTGGTCTCAGATTGACACATTCCTGGGAGATTCATACTAATAACAGTGTTTTTTTTGTCACCTTCTAAAGTTAAATCAAACTAAAATCCCTTGTTTTATGTCAGAATTACCAAAATAATTATGTGATTTAAAATGTTACATTTTAACTTAATTTGTCTCTGTTGTAGAATGTCAAACACCATGTCAAGACATGTTTTTATCTCCATGGTGCTGGAAAAGTTTTAAAGTCTCCCTTGAAAGTGCTTGAATTGTAATTGTTTTCAAGGTTTGGAATGTCCTTGACATTCAGACTTCATAGTTTTGTAATAAAGTGTTTGATTAAAAAACTAAATTTACAGATGAAACCAGATACACCTAATAAAAAAACAGTCTGAAGTTAAATCAGAATAAAATCTCTAGTTTTACGTCAGATAAAATTATCAAAATTATTTTATGCGAGACTTAAAATTTCAATTACGATATGTCATAATAGTGGGATGTTACAACGTTACCCTGCAGTTACAGTTTCCAAACACGATGGAGTTACAATGTGACAATGTAACAGTGTGATCTGAACGTTAGGAGCTACACTGTAGCGCCACATGTTGCACTACGGTGCCGTTACAAAGTAAAAACAGTTACAAAGTAACAACAGTTACAAAGTAACAACAGTTACAAAGTAAAAACAGTTACAAAGTAACAACAGTTACAAAGTAACAACAGTTACAAAGTAAAAACAGTGTGGCGTTACAGTCAGAAGTCTTTACTTTCACATGGTTTATGTTCTTCTGTTTTTTTCAATCTGAACTGTATTTGAATAAAATCTACATTACTGATCAAATGAGTTGGGAAAGGAACTTCTGTTTGTAACAATACAAAAGAGGAGAAATGTCAATTTTACCCAAGTTACAGCTCTACAGAGTGATACATTGTAATATTTATGTTCATAGAGGCAGATTAAACATGCATCTGTGGACAGGAATGACAGCATTTCATTATATTTATAGATTATTGCTGAGATTTTAAAAGAAAGCGACTGGGTAGATTTCTACAGCGTTTTTCTCTAAACTGCTGCAGCTTGTCTCATACATGTCAAGGTCATCAGAGGTCATCACAGGTCATTTTTGATGTTTCACACAAACAAACAGAACCCTGCAGAATTACAAAACCCCGGGCATCCTTTAGCTGATGCTCTTTAAAGCTGCATAACGTAACAAAGCACCCAGTCCTTCACATTGTTCCAACCTTTTGGCAAGTCATTGTAACTGTGTAAAATTTCATGTAAAATGCATATCAATGACAAGCGAATGCGCGCCTGAAAATAGCGAGCTATTTATATGCATTGCCAGACCATTTCACTCTGAGGCAGCTGCCCTGTGTTTCACTTAAAATTCATGCCTATCTTATTTTTCCACATAAGCCGCACATCGTAGATGAAAAAGGTAGGAAGGCAGAGATGAAAAGGGCTTAGAAAATCCAATCAAGTTTCTAAAGAAAACAGGAGCTCAAACTGCAGATTTTACATTTCACACCGACGCCGATGCACAAATTATACATACCATACCATACCATACCAT